AACAAACAAAATAATATTGAAACATGTAAACAATCTTGAGTTTTAGTAGTATGTAGATAGAAATGATTTCAAACAGGTGAGACGCCAGAAATATTACCACACATTTTTGTAACTCATATTTATATCACGTTTAATTGTCTCACTTTTTGTTTTAAGTATCACATTAATTAACTTCAATTAACTACTTCAAATTTTTTTCACCATAATTTATCACAAAGATTAAATCTTCTTTATTTATTTTACGTTTTTTCACAGTTGAATCAATTTAATTTATCTCACTATTTTCCTATTTTGTATAAAATTTATGTAACTAATGTGAACCGCATTAATTAGTCTCAATTTTTCTGAGTTGGTTAAATTTAGATCCGGGGCAACTTCTTCTAGTGAATAATCACGAAATGGTATATACAATTTTTTTTAAAGTCTGGTGCTATATGTTTTTATTATATATATATATATATATATATATATATATATAATGTATATTGCCTGATCTCCACGTCATGTATGACCCGAGATAGTCTTACAGTTAAGTTTCATATGGTCTATGTCTGAAGAGTATGGACCACTGATGCAATACAACAGCAGCCTAAAACTCCAACTTTGTTCGGCCTGCGTCCACATCATTCGTCAAACAATTTATTTTATGTATTCCTTAAACACTAAAATGTCTTGCTGATCAAAAACTCTGCGAACATTACGTTCACCTCATAACACATGAACAAATGTATATTTTTCAGCATTTCTCATCAACCTCAGTATGAGCTCACAAAAAACTATCTTTCAAAACGTAAAGGTTTTTTTAACACTTTACGTTAGTCTACGCACTAGTATTAAAAAAAACTAACATGACCTAAGTTAATATTTTAGCACTTAATATTGCATTTTTTTTATATTAACCTATCTAGAAGTTAAAGGAAAATCTAACATGAACTATGTTTATATTTTAGCACTTTACAGAATTCTAAGTACCAGATAAATAACAAACTAACACAATCTAATATTTATCTTTCAGGGCTTTTCATCGGCCTATGTACCAGTGGTGCAACATACCAACTTAGCCTAATATCTGCCTAGCCATGAACCTGTTAACACCTGTCATTAGCGCATACCAACTTAGCCTAAAATCTGCCTACTCAGGAACCTTTTCACACCTGTCATTAGCGCATGCCAACTTAGCCTAAAATCTGCCTACTCAGGAACCTTTTCACACCTGTCATTAGCGCATGCCAACTTAGCCTAAAATCTGCCTAGTCAGGAACCTTTTCACACCTGTCATTAGCGCATGCCAAATTAGCCTTATTTGTGCCTAGCCAGGAACCTTTTAACGCCTTTTATCAAAGACTGTAAAACCACCCTTGTTTACTCTATGGAAAAAAAGTGTTTATTTCAAGACAAGGTTAAATACATTTGTGCGGTGAATTGTTTGGAATGGTAATTGCATGACTGTAAAACCACGCCCATTTTAGCAGCTTCATGCGCACCATGTTTAAGTTCAAATAGCATGGACAGATTTAAGTCAATACCATTTATATTAAATGAGCTTTTAGCAGTACCATCTTTCTATTCGGAGGTTTAAAAATGTACTTCCAGTTAAGAAAATTTCAGTTGTAGTTTAAAATCGTTGCTACAATATTACCTTTTAGAGCAATTTGTGTTTCAAAGGTTTAGCAGTTATTTCAATCCGAGCAGAACATGTGTCTTTTTTAGACCTTAGGTAGCCATTTTTAAAAGATTAGATTCATTAGATTTGTTATTTGTGCTCACTACAGATTCGAACTTTTAATGCGCTTTGATAGAATACTAAAATAAATGTGTAAATAGTATTCTATATACATACAAACAAAAATGAGTAATAACTCATCGATTCCACATAGTATTTTCACAGAGTTTTCAAAGCAGTTCCATTTCGCATTTGGAGTCTGCATCATTCCATCTGTGATTTTCATCGGCGTCCTTGGTAACGTGCTAAGTATGATCGTACTGAGCAGGCAAAAACCGCAGAAATCCTCCACCATTTTTGTACTAGCTTTGGTGGTGGCAAACACAGTATACTTGTTCGGATCTATCAAGATCTCAGTAAACTTTTATAGTGAAAATCACGGGGTCTACGGATTCCATTATTCCAGGAGCGTCGCCACGTTTTTATATATCCTCATGGTATCCGAATACAGCATCCAATTCTGTGGTACCTACACCTCACTATTTATACCAATGTGTATTACAATAGAACGTATACTAGCTGTGTATTTCCCGTTTCATTTCCGACGTATTCTAACCTCCAGACGTGCAAAATGTATTGTTGTGCTGGGATTTCTTCTATGGACTCCACAAATGGCGATTTCCCTGAGTTTGTCTCGTTTTGAATACAACAACGACGGCTTCGGTGTTATACAAATGGTCAAAAGCTCTAAATCTGTCGAAGACGTGTACAATGTCATCATGAAAAGTTACTACGTCTTTGTTGGTCCAGCATCTGTTGCGATAGTTTTAATTGGAAGTTTCTTTATTGTAATTAAAATACGGAAACAAGGCAGGATAAGAAAAAAAATGGCGTCGTCAGTGACTGTATTTTCTACGTCTGCAGTGAGTCGGGTTGTGACGAAGATTAAAGCTGAGCGTCAAGTCCCTTCCGGGAGTTTAGATCTTGAAAATATGGATTTACATGACTTGGAGTCAGCTGGTCAAGTTGTTAGCGATAGAGATTCGAACAATATCAGTGTTATTGAAATCACGGAAATAACAGCTACCCAAAATAGCATCTGTACAACTGAAATTGACATCAAGAAAATATTTCTAGAAAGCAAAGCTACATTGCCGAAAAAGTCAAAACAAGGAAAAGGCCTAAGCGCAATTGAAACGAAACAAAAGAAACATTCGATAAATCGAACGACCAGATCTATGCTTGCAATAAATGTGTTTTACTCTATCGCTAACATGTTTACATTTGTATGCGCTTATGCCATGAAAGAAACTAACAACGATACTGAGATTCAGCAGGCACTCGGTAGTTGCGGAGAGTTCTTCCTCTCTGTGAACTGTGCCTTGAACTTTATGGCGTACGTAGCAACCAATAGGAACTTTAGACGAGATTACTGGCAGCTGGTAAAGCACTGCTTGAAACGTAAATAACTAGCACAATGTGTTTTATCCTACAGAAATGGTTTTAAACTAACGTAAAGCTTATAGTTTATACAGTTAATCAGTTGATCAAAACTGATAAGTAATTATGGAGAAAAAAAATATGGTTTTAATTTATTATTTATCTTGCTATTCATTTTGGAAAAATGTGCCTAAAAATTTAGCATAGTGAACTGGTAATAAATAAATGTGTCTGTTTTAGTTGTTTTTTTTTTTCTGTGAGCCACTCTTTGTGTGTTGTAAACAAATCTTTAAAAATGTTCTTTAGACGTGTTTCTTTTGTCCAATTTGAGGGTGGGGCACTACCCCCACTCTGCGAGAAAACAGAAGAAGTATATAATTGACATAATTATAGTTTCTTAAATCGGTTTCTGAGCCCTGAAGTGTAATGCCCCCCATTTCTCTTCTGTGAGTCTACAGAGAAAATGTTCAGAAAAAAACACTTATCTGTAATCCCATTGTTAATTACATATATTGCAAATACGAAAAGACCAAAACACAGGCAAAATTAAAACCGTTAAATAAAAGAATCTGAGGAAATTTAACCAGTTTTTCCAAATCCTTCAGTGACTCTTCACTTCAATGTTTACGTCTATCTCAAATACACGAGTTGAACTTCATCTGTTGTTTATTTCAACCATTGAGCAATTTTTTGCTGTATATTGATAAATGTGAACGTTTTTTTTTAAATCCTGAGACAAACAGAACCCAAAAAAAAAAACAATCGATAGATATGCTATATACGAATGTTGGTAATTCCCGATATATTAACGAACACAGAAATACTATACAATATCTTTTGTTATCAGTGTTTTCGATTATTTTATAACTACTTTTCTAACACTAATCCTAACCCTAGTTTCACCAGACGCCTAATCATAATTTCTAACCATAAAATTTAGTCGTTACTACAACACCACTAACAACCTAACACTCCTATTTTCAGTAGTCTTTTATCGGACATATGTATCTTTAATCATCCAAATAGAATAACAAACAGCCAGTCCCTTCACTTTCACAGCTTAAGAAGACCACCTTATAAAAAAATACTTAAGTTACGAATCTCTCGTTGTTCATAAATTTGTTTTTCTCAGTAAGAAAAACCAGAACAGAGGTTACGTCCAGAGGTGGACTGGCCCGCCGTTCTACCGAGAAATATCATTGTGGGCCCCTGAAACAAAATCTCTGTGGGCCTCCGGTACTGTATTAGTTCTTTAAGTTTTATTTTTTAAATTGTCGATTTTTTTTTACCTTTGCTTCATGCCGAAGTGTAAAAGTCAGACTTTGATGGAAACTAAATGAAAATTAAAAATTTTAATCTGGGGTTAGGGGCCCTATTTAAAATTTCCCGGGCCCTCTTGGACAAAGCCAGTCCACCCTTGGATACGTCTCAGTTTTGTTATTAACTCCTAACAACAGCATTTATCTCACATTATAACCAATGTAAACCCCTACCCTTATATATATGCTCTGTATGAATGAAGTTAGTTAGGTCCCTTTCATAAGAGGCCATCTATAATCCACGTCGAACCCCTTAGGGGGAGGGGGGATTTGATCCACTGTGACGACGGTGGATGAGAGTCGAATAGTGTGGACTACCCCTTAGTTTAATAGTAGCAAAGACGATAAAACTTTAGGGATTTGAACAGAAGTGCTAAATATAGAACTGAGAAACACAAGGTTGGCAAAAAGCCAACGGTTAAAATATTTACACTAACGATTTTAGACTAATTATAGGGCTGACGTTAAAAAGGGATTACCTCAAATGTAAATTACTGTATCGATGTCTACTTCGGTAACTTAACGCAGGGATTTTCTAAGAAACGTAGCCTTGAAGTTACAGATACAAAGCGGGCATTCCCGATCTGGGTATATATATTAGGTCATGTCTCTTCTGGTGACGTCAGGACTGATATGCCAAGTATTGCAGACAAACAACATATTTAAATTTGTAAGTAATACATTGGTTTTGTTTTTATTGGTTATTTTGTTTCTGTTTATTAATTTCAAATTTTAAACTCTAACTCAATTAACATTATATATATATATATATATATATATATATATATATATATATATATATATATATATATATATATATGTATATATATATATATCGTGTGAGTTGTATGAGCATGAACGGAATCCATTCAATAGTCATGTGTAGTGGCTATTATATCATTGGTGCTGCATCTAAGAGTACAGTTTCAGCTGGTACTAACTTTGATAATCTGCTGCTAATGATCCATACTTTGTTGTTTACTGAAGTAAACACCAAGTGCAGACAATGAAACGTAATTTTGTCAGAATGAGAGATGTTGAATCACTTGAATCTAAGAAAATAACATGTATATGGAAATATTGAACTGTTTTAAATCTGAGTTTCCCATTATTTTTTGTCACCTTTATTCTCATGAATTCCTATATATGAACTAAATCTGCTGTGAAACCCTTTGATTTCAAGGCGTGGTGTTAAACCATACTAAATGATTGAATAGTTCTTACCACTAATTTTTTAGGCAAAGCGGGACTAGTAACCAACTGATACGAATGTTTCACTTCACCGACCCCTACATTCGTATCCCCTATTGCATATTGGTTAATGGGGCTTTTAGTGACACCCTCGACTCTTCTTATCTGTTGTTGGTAAAATAGGTTGATTGACTTATTTTGTTTACATAGCATGTCAGTAAAAAAAAAAGCTTCTTTTTTGTTTTTAAAACTTCGCATAGCTAAACTGCGATTAACAAACTTAACAATGGTAAAAAGACAAATCGTTAAATGTTTATTGTATAACTTTGCATGGTCTACATTGTATAAAATCCCCCTTCCCCCCCCCCCCCTACTTAACGCCACACTGAAAACAACACAGTAGTAGCGCTTCTTCATAGTTCCAGACAAGTGCCGTCTGCTGGCACTGTTCCAAAAGGTGTACGTCAGCTACAGAAAGGTTACACCCTACAGTTTACCAACTATTTACCGGGATCTTATCTTACGGTCTAAACAGCGGTCTCGATGGCCCCTCCCTTTATATATGTATATATATATATATATATATATATATATATATATATATATATATATATATATATATATATATATATATATATATATATATATATATATATATATGTGTGTGTGTATATAGTATATATATAAATACCATTCCACTTGCCGCTATGATATGATTTTTGCGGAGTTATCTATTTGATTTTAAACGATTACAGAGCATATCCGCCATCTTGACTTATTTCGTTTTAGATCGTAAGAGTTTATTTTAAAAATCAGATCAACTGACGACAGAGCAATGGAAGAAAGTATTGAAAAAAGCTTGGGGGAGCTAAAACTGGATGATAAAACACAAAGTAGGTAGCTGTGTATTGTGAGAAGTTTAATTTTGATGTAGAATACCGACTTTTCTTTTAATTAATTTAGAGAATTTAAAAATGTTATATTAACAAATATAAGCTACATAACGATAAATATTGTAAACAAGTACGGAAAATTTCCAGCGGAAAATGAAAACTATAAAAATACTTTTTTTTACTAGTTTAGGAAAAAAGTAAATTTAGATAGGTTTGATAATTTAACATTTTAAAATATTTCTATCAAACTCCCTATTTAAATTTCCGTATTTAAACTGTTTATCTTTTCGTCCATGTTTTTAAAGAACCCCCAAGTCCTACGCTCGGCGAGAGAAACGCTGAGTGCGTCTTTCTCAAGGTGGAGACCACGGGCCTAAAACCGGAAAGTGAAATCATGCAAATCACGGCCATTCGTGACCTTGACACCTTCGAGCGTTACGTCATACCTCTGACAGAAGACGGCACTCTCGCGCCATCGGACCCTGGAGCGACAAAAGTGAATCACCTGACGGTCGAAAACGGGGTCATGCTCTTCCAAGGCACGCCTGTCGACAAGGCAAACGTCCGTGACCTTGAACACGCGCTGGAAGATTTCCTGGAATTCCTGCGTCAAGGTCATCTAAAAGTATTCCCTGATTCAAAACCAATCATAGACATAATGAAAAACCCTAAAAAATGTGACATGACCCCTGACCCCAAGACTCCAACCCCGACCCCGAACGACCCGTCCAGACCTTACCTTACAGTCATCGCCCACCACATGCCCTTCCACCTGGGTCGCCTGACCCGTGGGTTCCGGAGATTCCCGGCCAGAAATTTCGAAAGAATTTTCCACTCCCTGTGCAAAACCTTGGATTCCAGATCCACCTTCAAGAAAAATTACTACCGTCACCTTGACAACCACCACCTTGAGTACATGGCCAACACGGTCCTGGGGAAAAAGTACATCCCGAATTTCGCTGAGTCCGACTCTCTGAGAAAATTGAAGTGCCTTCAGGAGCTGTGGTACCGTAGGAGAAACAGCCCAAAATAACATTTTTAAATTTTACGTCATTTATTTTTTATAATGAGTGTAACTACATACAACTGTGATATGTATCAAATAAACTAAATTAGCAGTTTTTTACTTAGAAAACTAAAAGCATAAAGTACAGTATTTAAAATTTCGTATTTATACACAGAAAAAAAGACTAAAATCAGAAAGATTTGAATGTAGTCAATTTATTCAGTTTATTTCATTTCATATAGTCTGTTAAGAGTATATAAGTTCAACAATATTTTTAAAAGTACATATTTTAAAAAACAACGGTATGCCTTTCGAAATAAAACGTTCACAATCATTGCTTGCGTCTACATTAAAAATCATATTAGTACAAAGTTTTGTAGTTATGTATCTGTACTTTTTTGACATTGTATATTTTAATTTAACATCTTATATACAAAATGTATTTAGATTTTAGAATGTTTTTATTTTTATTTTACAAGTAAACTGGTTTGTTGATTTTTTTTTACAAGCAAGCTCAATGAAATGAACTTGCTTGCATTACATTTCACCAAACTCTTGTAGAAATCTTCATTAATAATATTATTAAATCATTGTTGATTGCCATAGAACCTCCCCCCCCCCCAAACCATTTACTTCCTTACTAATATTTTTGTAAACCTGTAAAAAAAAAAGTATGTACAAAATGTTGCTTTTTTTTAAATGTGAAAAACTGCTGTTGAATTTAAATAAGCACATAATGCGAATATATTGTGAAATAATTACTGTCACCATTTGTGCACGTTATTTGTAATTTTTAAAATGATATATTTTTCACATGTTTTAAACACAAATATACCAATTTAAAAATATATTTGTTATGAGTATTATTCTTTTATGATAGTCTTTTAAAACTTGATTTTATATTACTGTAATGCGTTCTTCCTTGGTGGGAGGAGAGGGGATTGTATGTAATCTCTAGCCTATCTTGCATCTTACACAACTAGGCGTACAAAGCAGCTAAACTAAGGGCGATAACCATAAGAAAAGATAAAAAAAATGGTAATAAAAATTATAAGAGTATTATTAATACTATAAAAAAAAAGAGTAAAGCGAATAAAATGAAACTTAAAGAATCAAAATTAAAAAAAAATTATAATTTTAATTGATAAATAAATTATAAAAACAATATTTAAAGAGAAATAAAAATTAATGAGTAAAAAAAAATTGGCCTATAAAAAAAATTGTATTCAAAAATACGGGGAAAGATAATAACAAAGCAACAAAAAATAAATCAAAATACAAATAATCTTTTACAGCAAAGCAACAGGCCGCAACACGTCAATATCGATCTTATATATCGATAATCGATAGTTGTGACACCAGGGCTGACAGATATACAGACGTAAAAATCAATACAATATATTTATAGCCACAACACAACCAGCGCAGTATGTCTTCAGCTTTGCTGTGGGTTATTTTTCCAGGAAACCAACGACAATCGATTTGCACTGCTATCTACAAATACTGCTGATACAACTTTAGCAAGTTTTAGAACTCTCAAAATAAAACTACCCGTTATGAAGTGTATTGTATGTGTAGTCAGTGACAGAAATAATGGAGGATAATGGCACTGAGTTGTAGCGGCAGAGGCGTAACTAGGGGAGAATGGGTGGGGTGGCTGCCCGGGGCGCCGACATAAAGAGGGCGCCAAACGGGTTAGAAAATATAAAATATAAAGTTAGTTTTAAGCTGCATTATGCACAGTCAAATTTTAAGTAAAATGACTAAAACTTGGCCTGATTTCCTAGATTGGTTGATGGGGGGGGGGAGGCGCTTTTGAGCCATAGTTAATAACAAAGTGTACATAGTGCGGCTGGATGGTGGGGGGGGGTGGAGGTTACTAGAGCGAAGAGAAGTAAAGGAAACAAAAATAATGCTGAAAACATAGAAGAGCTCTATAAATAGATCGGGGGATTTCCGGTGCTTTAATAGACTACCGGTAACATTGTTAATGAAACGTGGCAAGCAATACAGGTCTTTCCACAACTCTCTCAGGTTGTTATTGTTTAAGATTGTTCTGCTATTTGTATCATTTGATACAAAATAAGTAACAGACATGTGTATTCGTTTACTATAACTTATATTACAAAACTTATATTACTTGTTGATGTATATATTGATATACATATAGGCCTATATATATGTATATATAGGCCTATATATATATATATATATATATATATATATATATATATGTGTGTGTGTGTGTGTGTGTCTGTGTGTGTGTGTGTGTGTGTGTGTGTGTGTAAATACAAATATATATTTATGTACACATAAATAAGTTTATATATATATATATATATATATATATATATATATATATATATATATATATAATTATACATTATATATATTATATAGAGTATATGTAGGGCCTATATATATATATATATATATATATATATATATATATATATATATATATATATATATGTTTAAACACCTGTGTTTACCTGTGTTTAATTTGAAATGATGTAGATGTTATTAATTTCTTTCCCCTTGAATCGATGTGTTATTAAAAAAACTGACATAAACAACTTTAATAATACATTGACGTCTATTTTAATAAACCATAAAGTATTTTTCTATGTTTACTTCCACTAGACCGGCATCAATAATGTTGATCAGATAATCCACAGTAACATCTCAACTCAGAGACTTCAAGTTAAATCATGGACAGATATTTTCACAACCCTCCATCAACCTCAACGTCCAACCCTGACCCCGAGACATCCTCCTCCCTTCGTCCTGACCCCTCGGCGTCGACCCCCAGCCTACAGAAGACCTTGATCTCTCTAAGACTTGACCCCTCATCTTCAACTCCAACACTACAAAAAACAACAAAACGCCAAAGCCGGTTCAAAGGTGAAACCTCGGATACACCTGTTACAAAGAAGAAGAAAACCACCCAAACACAGCTCACCTTGTTTAGGGCCGACGACAACAGCGTAGTGCTCACCTACGAGAAACCTTCTCAGGAGATCACCAACCGGAAGTGTAAACATTGCGACCGGTTCATTTCCTGTCTGAAAGACACAACAAGCGGCCTTGAACTTGATAAATGTTTATCGAAGTGGAAAGTCGTCCAGTCAAAAAGTTTGAACAAATTTTATCTGCTCTCTAGAAGAGAGGAATTTGGACCTGTGTATAGCATCAGCAAAAAGTGAGTTCTCGATTTTTTTTCTTAAGTTTCTTTTTTTGGAGTTTTTTTATAGATATTTTCTATTAAAACAGAACGTCGTGGCCTAGCAATAGAGCGCTAGACTGCTAATCCGAATGTCTTGAGTTCGAATCCCGTGTTCGTGTCAGTAGAACGACCAATCATTCCACTTAGCTCTGATGAAAACAAAGGCGACTGGACATAGCGCTGACCACTCTTTCGTCTTGAATGCCTTACATATGCCCTATATGTTTTTGGCACGAACAGAGAGAGAGAATATTTTCCAAGAAAGGTGCTTTTTAATGAGATAAGCTGCCAGTTATCTTCTAAAGTAATATAATCTGTCCATTCTCTCATCTCCCTGGGCCCTGTACGGACTGTCTTCTGTAGTATGGCCATCATGTGATATAAACTGTCCATTCTCTAATGTAGTGTGACCATCACGTGAACTAAACTGTCCGTTCCATCATCTCCACAGGACCCTATACCGACTGTTTTTTATATTTGACCATCACGTGATGTAAACTATCCATTCTCTACTGTAATTTGACCATCACGTGATGTAAACTATCCATTCTCTACTGTAATTTGACCATCACGTGATGTAAACTATCCATTCTCTACTGTAATTTGACCATCACGTGATGTAAACTATCCATTCTCTACTGTAATTTGACCATCACGTGATGTAAACTATCCATTCTCTACTGTAATTTGACCATCACGTGATGTAAACTATCCATTCTCTACTGTAATTTGACCATCACGTGATGTAAACTATCCATTCTCTACTGTAATTTGACCATCACGTGATGTAAACTATCCATTCTCTACTGTAATTTGACCATCACGTGATGTAAACTATCCATTCTCTACTGTAATTTGACCATCACGTGATGTAAACTGTCCATTCTCTCGTCTCCCCAGGGCCCTATACAGAATGTCGTGTATATTTGACCATCACGTGATATAAACTGACCATTCTGTCATCACTACAGGGCCCTATACCGACTGTCTTGTATATATGACCATCACGTGATATAAACTGTCCAATCCATATCTCCCCAGGGCCCTATACCGACTGTCGAATCAGGTGTTTGACGACTGGTTCCGGGACGACCTGACCCAACCTTGCCCTACGCCAAAGTGTGTCAAGGACAAAATGTACAAGACCTTTCCATTTGATGATTAAATGTAAAGTGATTAAATATTTTTATATTTAAATTTATAAGATTTACATATTTTGATGACCACATGTATATGATGCGTAAGAATTTACCATTTAATGCTCAAATTTCCATGTAGTTGATTATTTGCTGTTTCTCAAATGATTAATAATTTTAAAATCTGATTACATTATAATCGCTTTTATTTTAAAACGAATTACAAATAAAAAATGTATTTCATGCTTAATTGAATAATAAAATGTATTATTGGAAAAATAGTTTAAAATATTGTATCATGTGATTTTAAGATGTCAAATGTTTTTGCAGCTCTAAAAGTTGTATTTTAATCTTGGATGAAAATATTTTAACATTATGTTGAAGAAAATATGTTTATTGGGTTTATCTATTTATTTTAAATCTACATTAGTCTTTATCAAAATGAAAATTAAAGTTAAAAATAGCTAGAACGTCAGCTTATGTTCATGTTCAATCGTTGATTTGAAGGTATCTGAAACTACGTACACGTGTCCAGAAATCAATGTCAGGTAAATCATCACATATTGCGTTGTTGATTCCGTAAATAAAGGTCGTTAATATGATGTCTTAAAGTATTTCAAAATTTGCATTGGTTATAGAAAAGGGAGACTAAAAAGCTGGTAGTAAAATAGATAAGAAATAAAAAGGTTATCTCCTATATATATATATATATATATATATATATATATATATATATATATATATATATATATATATATTTATATATATATATATATATATATATATATTTATATTCATATATATATATATATATTCATATATATATATATATATAGATGTAAATAGATGTAAATATAAAATCTGCTATAGGACAGCCCATATGATCAAAACCAACAAAACAAATACAACAAACTAGAGCAGTAATTGATTATATTTATTTGATGTAAGGAGCCTTTAGGTCATTATTGACCTTGATTACATTAAAACTTTGGTTAAGATGTAAGTTTAAGCCCCAGCTAAATCGAACTGAATCCTCTCCATCTAACAACAGCAATGATTTTCCGCAAGTTTTAATGTATTATAGATTAAATGAATATTCTTAATTAATATAAGAGAAGTAAAGGAACTATGATCAAAGTGTGTTTTATGAAGATATTACGATGGATCAAAAATTATATTAAATACACCCATACTGATCGTAGTTGATGTTATCAGAAAATATATTTTTTTAAATATCGTCTATAGCGTTTTATTACATTTCTGTTATTCAAAACCTCTAGTAGATTTAAGTTGTTCCAAAACATACATGGGCTTTTAAACCACTCACTACCATCCTCAAATAACTTAGGATAAACTCATACCTGATACAAAAAAATTCGCTTCCTACAGTACAACCAAACCCGGCGTACGTCATTCAATCAATTAATTAACCTTCTCACGATTTTTTCCTGGGATTTTCCCATCCTCTAGCAGGGGTCTCCAAACTACGGCCCGCGGGCCGGATGCGGCCCGCGAAGTCCTCTCATCCGGCCCGCGGAGATCTTTTTGTCCAAGGAAAAAATGCTTGTTGGTGATGGCTGAGGAAGTTTGCCCAGAAAAATCAAAGCCATGCCTGGAAGAAACTGGCCCCCGAACTGAAATTTGATAGTTAATGCGGCCCTCGGGCTGAAAAGTTTGGAGACCCCTGCTCTAGACTCTAGACGTAGTACGTCTCAGCTCTGGAACTTATTAACAACCGTCAGCTACGTTTCATACTGCGCAGCTCATTTTGCGCGGGGTTGTACCCTTCTAGCACTAGTCTAGTGGTTTCTTAGTAATAGGTGCGTCTCCCTGAGCAGTCTTGGATTAAAGTCTGAGTGGTGGGGGAGTACTAGAGTAAGGCGGAGAGGCGAACTAGAGGTAGGGGGTTGTGGAATAGAGTCAGGGGAGGCGTTGGTTAGAGTGGGGAGAGGTGTGGGCTAGTTTCAGGGGAGTGGAGGTGTGGGCTAGTGGCAGGAGTGGCGTTTGCTAGAACGGGGAGAGGTGTGGGCTAGTGTTAGGGGAGTGGAGGTGTGGGATAGTGTTAGGGGAGGAGAGGTGTGGGCTAGTGTTAGGGGAGTGGAGGTGTGGGCTAGTGGCAGGGGAGGAGAGGTGTGGGCTAGTGGCAGGGGAGTGGAGGTGTGGGCTAGTGGCAGGGGAGGAGAGGTGTGGGCTAGTGGCAGGGGAGTGGAGGTGTGGGCTAGTGTTAGGGGAGTGGAGGTGTGGGCTAGTGGCAGGGGAGGAGAGGTGTGGGCTAGTGTCAGGGGGGAGAGGTGTGGGCTAGTGGCAGGGGAGTGGAGGTGTGGGCTAGTGTCAGGGGGGAGAGGTGTGGGCTAGTGGCAGGGGAGGAGAGGTGTGGGCTAGTGTCAGGGGGGAGAGGTGTGGGCTAGTGGCAGGGGAGTGGAGGTGTGGGATAGTGTCAGGGGAGGAGTTTGCTGGAGTGGGGAGAAAAGTGGGCTAGTGTCAGGGTAGAGTTTCGAGGATCTAGAGTAGAGTCAGGGCACTGGCTACAGGCTTCTACTGATACACAACCAATTGGCGAGCAGAAAATACTATCGCATGCAATCATTAATAAACTATCTTTATTGTGCTTGATGTAAAAACAAGTAAGGCAATTAAATTAAGTTTGTTTCACTATTTTATAACTTATTCTTTAGAAAAAAAAATGCCAATGACTATTTGCCTTTTCTTCCCTTATATCACCCCACCCATCTTCTGCCTTACCCCATTACCACAACCTAATACATCGCATTGTAATTACTACTTTTCGTCTTACATTGTCATTACAATCTTTCACCCCTATCAGTATGAAGATTTAATCTAAAAAAAAACACTATGGAGTATCCAAAACTGTATTTTACAAAGACATGTAGAGTGGCAGTAGATGCCATTGCTACGGGAGCATAACCATTAGATCGATCTTAAAATAAGCGTCACGGTTAATACAACACGTGGTTAAGTCGATGTACTTAATTAACTGCGTCAACAGGTTACATTCTAAGATTGAATACAACATGTTTGTTTACATTCATTACGAAAAGCTTTTAACTGCACTCGTATAAGTTAAATTGACAATATTTTCTTTACCTTCTTCTTCTGCGTTCTTAATTTAGTTTATGGTGGAGGATTTAAACAACAAGTCCATCTTCGTGGATGAACTGGACTGTGGTCTCCAGATCTGCAGGTGTCTAATACAGTTTTTCATTGAGTTCTTTACCTATAACAATTACTTTATAATGAATGCTTGCTAGACACTATTAAAATATTCTTTGATCAAAAACTTATATAATTAAAGTTCATCGTGATGAAGAAAGTGTTGCTGTTTTTATTTCCTAAGAGAAAAATACAAGCGAGAATCTAGTCGAAATGTGCAAATTAAATAAACAGCCAACATATATAGAGCAGATCTTCCATGAAATGTGTTTAACAAAATAGCTAGCTCGGTTCTTTTTTTTTTTCGCATAATTAACTTTCTTTCAGTGCAAAAATGTTAAAAACAAGTTTGAAGCATTGATAAACACATTTTTTAAAAGATATTTTAAAGTTTTGTAAAAATGTTTTTTTTTTTCTAATTGTATCCTGCTGTTACGCTGAGTTTAACAAAACCTTTAGAAACGTAACAGGAATTAGTCAACCATGCAGCTCTAAGCGAAAAAAAAAGAAAAGAAAAAAAAAGCACTACACAGATTTTGTTAGCTACTGCATCAAATTTATGTAGCAACTTTTCGGTAGACACTGCCCCCCTTCCCATCCCGGATGACGTCTACTGCCAGCCTTTCCCCCCCCCCCCCCCATTTCAACCCCCACCCCTCTCCAGATTAAAAAAAAAGAGGGGAAAATATACAAATTGACATATAAAAACCAATGTCCACCCCACCCAGAAAATTGTCAGAAAGCCACCGTGTATTATAGATCTACTGTTAGCAGATTCTAGAAACGTCTGGCTTTTATGTGTGTCACGCTGACCCTCCATCTCAAACCTCCCCTTTAACCCCCCCCCCCCCCTCCAGGTATACATTAGATTCACACCACTTAGCACAAAATCCTGAATGCGCAGAAGATGCAGGGTATAAAAAAAAAAGAATTGTACATCACGCAACAGCAAAAACTACTTCTGAGATTTCTGTTCCAGATTTAGCATGAAAGTTATTCTTGTCCTTTAATTTTTAAGCGTTTTAAAATAGTTAAAAACTTAAAAGTGTATCTGTATTTCCATGGTTTTGTCTTCATAGACAAAAGTAATTTCATGGGCGATTACTCCTGCATTGAACAGAGGGTAAAAAAAGGAGGTCATAGTTTACATAACACAAAAAAATAAGTGGCTTTAAAGTGTGGTTTTTTTAAAGATTTTCTAAAAATATAGTTTCACTCTAGCATTTTTTACAACTGTAATTCAGTGGGATGGTTTAAAAAGGGTGATCATTATACTAATTAGCGGCTAATTTTGGTTTGATTTGCTGAGAATAGTTTCACTCTTACGTGAACATTGTTTACCTAAGGATGGTGCTCCGTTTTGGTAATATAATAGTTTAATTTTTTTATAGTTATTGCTGTTTAATCAAATTTAGTGCGTGTATATATAAATATATACATATATATATATATATATATATAGAGAGAGAGAGAGAGAGAGAGAAAGAGAGACAGAGAGAGAGAGAGAGAAAGAGAGACAGAGAGAGAGGGAGAGAGACTTTATAAAATGTGCATATTCGTTTTTATTGTTAATGTGTTTAATATGTTTAATATGTATTTAGAGCACAGATAAGGTAAGGAATTAGTATAGTTTATAATCACATACTAAACAATTGTTTACCAATGGTTTCTAAATTTTTCCCTTTTGAAATGATTCACTTAAATTAGTAGATAAGTAATAGTTTGTAAGCATTGCCTAATAATTGCAGCATGTTAAATGAATGCTTAATGGTATACATGTTACTTCATCACTTTTTCACGTGTAATTGTTTTTTTGTTTGATATAAATAAAGAAATTAATTATTCTTTGACTGGTCATTGAAATTTATTATAAAAAACAGTATAAGTAGTTAAATTATTCCATATACATCTAATGTATATAGGCGGATGAATAATTTATAAATTGTCTTTTTGACACGAATGGTGTTCCATAGTAATATTCTGAACATCAGAAAGGTGTTCCCGGTTTATTTTCTTACTTTTATTGTTTCTTAGCTTTACTTAGACATAGAAAAGTGTTGTTGCACTAAATCTTCGGTGCTTACTTCGCGACGAGTGGCTATTTAAGACGATTTGATGTGTGTTAACAATATATTATGTACAGAATCAGTTAACACTTAGCCATTCGTTATTAATTTATTTTCCTGTTTCAAAGTACGAAACATTAATTAAGTGCCGTGATAGATT